CATATAGTACATCATTAGTTTCAGATGTAGTGTTCAATAATTTATCAGTTGTGTATAAGACCCAATGCTCATCACATCACGTGCCCTCCTTAATGCCTATCAGCCAGTTACCCCATCCCCCACCCATCTTTTCTCTAGCAACCTTCAGTTTGTTTCCTAGAGTTAAGAGTCTCTCATGGTTTGTCTCCCTCTCTGATTTTTTCCCATTCAGTTTTCCTTCCCTTCCCCTATGACTCTCTGTGTGTTTCTTATATTCCACATATGAATGAAACCATATGAAATTGTCTTTCTCTGATTGACTTATTTCACTCAGCATAATACCTTCCAGTTCCATCTACATTGATGTAAATGGTAAGTATTTATCCTTTCTGATGGCTAAGTAGAATTCCATTGTATATATATACACCACATCTTCTTTATCCATTCATCTGTCGAAGGACATTTTGGCTTTATCCACAGTTTGGCTGTTGTGGACATTGCTGCTATAAACATTGGGGTGCAGGTGCCCCTCCAAATCACAACATTTGTATTTTGGGGGTAAATACCTAGTAGTGCAATTGCTGGGTCCTAGGGTAGCTCTATTTTTAACTTCTTAAGGAACCTCCATACTGCTTTCCAGAGTGACAGCACCAGTTTGCATTCCCACCAACAGTGTAAGAGGGCTCCCTTTTCTCTACATCCTCACCAACATTTGTTGTTTCCTGTCTTGTTAATTTTAGCCATTATGACTGGTGTGAGGTAGTATCTCATTGTGGTTTTGATTTGAATTTCCCTGATGCCAAGTGATGTGGAACATTTTTTCATGTATCTGTTGGCCCAAATATCATTTTTGGGGGCCAAATTTTTTGGCCAAATTTCTCTGACCTCCTTTCTTGGGGGCTCCCATGACCCACCTCTTTGAGCACTTGTCCTTGTGTCACCAAGGCTCTGCTAATTTTTTCAGCTTTTCCTTTTTTGTGCTTTGCTTCCATTTGAATTGTTTCTGTTGCCAGTTCTCTAAGACTATTTTTTCTCCAGAAGTGTCTAATTTGTCATTAAACCACTCTTGAATTTTTTACTTCAGATACTATAATTCTATTTTCGGGTTTAGTGTTTTTATTTAGTTTTTATTTCAATTTCCATTTATGTTCTCTTTTCTTATTTTATTTTATTTTATTATGGTATGTTAGTCACCTTACAATACATCATTAGTTTTTGATGTGGTGATCCACGATCCACTGTTTTCATATAACAGCCAGTGCTCCATGCAGTACGTGCCCTCCTTAATACCCATCACCAGGCTAACCCATCCCCCCACACCCCTCCCCTCTAAAACCTGTTTGTTTCTCGGAGTCCATAGTCTCTCATGGTTCATCTCTCCCTCCGATTCCCTCCCCCTTCATTTTTCCCTTCCTTCTCCTAATGTCCTCCATGCTATTCCTTATATTCCACAAGTAAGTGCAACCATACGTGGTTTCACTTATGTTCTCTTTTCTATGTTTTGCCACATCATGTTTTCCTTAAATATTTTGAACATATTTTATAATAATTATTTTAAAGTCCTTATCTGTTAAATCCAAACCTGCTAAATAGATGTAGACATGTCTACTTCTACTGACTTATCTTTCTCCTGCTTATAGGTCACATTTCCCTACTCCTCTGCATTTCTTTTTTTTTGACCGTAGGAATATTTTAATTCATATGTTTTAATTCATTACATGATAATAATAATATCACAGTCTATTTTACAAGTTAAATGTATGAGAAGGTATGAAATAGAAATGGTAGGAAAAAAACTAAACATAGGTCAGGAATATGAATTTTTCCAAAACTAGGGGCCAAAGGAAGATGTGTCGCCTGCAGGGCCCAAGGAGGAGGCAGGGCGGGGGCGGGAACAGCAGTGGCTTTCGTGGTAAGCGTCTGTCCCGCGTCACCCTGGGAAGGAGTCAAGGCTCACCCTCTGCCCTGGTCTGGGGTTGGGAGTGGAGTCTGGTCAGTGGAAGATGGCGGCTCAGGAATTAACAGCCATCTGGTTACCTACACAGAACTGGTCCCCTGGTGGCCGCAGGTGGGTTCTGCCCTACAGGGAATTAGGGTTGGAAGTGTCAAAAACCAAATGCGTGGAGGAAAAAAGTACACAGTTTCCTCCTTTCCCCCCCAAACCCAAATTCTTGAAATGCACACACATTCTTGTCTCAAACGTAGAAAAGTCTCACTCTGGATGCGCTTACAAGAAGATGGTCTTCAAAACACTTTGTCTCTATGATAGCATTCCCAGTCGGCACGCTGGCGGGCGTCCTCTGGGACTCGGGCGCTGCCTCTCTCAGGGACTGCCAGGTGTTTGTGGAGTTCGGGGTCGCAAAGCCGGACTCGAAGAACCTCTCTTCCAGGCCTTGCCCTGTTCCAGGCGGAATTTTTCCATTTGCTCTGCTGAAGAGAAGTTCAATTCTCGAGACCTGCCTTGCACTTGAGGACTTTCTTGGGAACACGGGCTTCATGCTCCTCTCCAGGGACCGACAGGTCTTCTGTTCCTTGCACAGTACCTTCCCTGTCTCAGCATCCGGAGGCTCATCCGGTTTCGTTTGAGGGCCCTCAGGATCTCCCTGGCCCGCTCGTCCTTGGCGGACATGATGCGGTGGTCGCCGCCTGCAGGTCTCCTACACCCGCCCCGCGGAGCTTCGCCGACGGTGCCCAGGAACGGAGGCCGGAGCCGCAGCCGGGCCTGGAGACCTCGGCGAGCAGCTGCCCGGCCAGACCCGGACCGGCCTCTCCCTCCCCTCAGCTCCCGCTCCTGATCCCTTCTCCCCTCCGCTGCATTTCTGGCAACACTTTCCTTTATACTAGAGATTGTGAATTCTACAGAATTGAATGCTTGGATTTTGTGTTTCTTTGGCATTGCTGACTTTTGGTCTGGTAGCCAGTTAATGTACTTGTGGATCTGCCTGAACTTTTTTGAGGACTTTTTAAAGCTTTGTTAGAGTGAGTGAGGGGAGTTTATTGTTAGGGGAGCACCCTGTCCTCATGCATGACCTTTCCAGTATCTCAGCTGAAGGCCTGGCTGGTTTATCAAGTTCTCTCCACTTAGTCTGGCTGGAGCTCTCACATGTCTCAGTCTTTCCTGTTCTGCTCATAAATCCCTGATCAGATTTTTTGCCAGGTGTTATGGGTTGAAATGTGTCATTTCCTGCCCCTGCCCCATTCCTGTGTTGAACTGCTAACCCTCAATACCACATAATGTGACCTTATTTGGAAGCAGGATCATTGCAGATATAATTAGCTAAATTAAGATGAGGTCATACTAGAGTAGGGTGGAATCCCAATCCAACATGACTAATGTCCTTATAAAAAGGGGAAATTTGGACACAGACATGCACAGGGAGAATGACAAGTGACCATGAAGGCAGAAATCAGGGTGACACGTTTCCGAACGAAGGAATGCCAAAGAATGCCAGCAACCATCAGAAGCCAGGGAAGAGGCATGGAACAGATCCTTTCCTTCTATAGCCCTCGGAAGGAACCAACCCTTGATCTTGGTCTCACAGCCTCCCAAACTCTGAGACAGATTATCTGTTGTTTCAGACACATGGTCCATGGTACTAAATGACAGCAGCCCTAGGAAACTAATATACCAAACCTCGCAAAATTGCCCTATGGTATATATGCAGCTTACTAATTACCTTAGACTCAAGAGACCCCTCAGAATTTCTGGATCTCCTTCCCGGCACAGTGTCCTCCTTGTTGGCATTGTGCGTCCAGCATTCCAATGACTTTATTTGTCTTTTCCATCTCTGCCTGCTCAGCTCAGCAAGACCATGCTCTGCTCGGGCTTCACCTCCCTGCATTGCAAACCAGAAAATTCTCCCAGCAAAGAAGCTGTGCAAACATGGGCCACTCCTTGCATGTCTCTCATCCATCTCAGGCAGCACAGTGTTTCACTGCCTGTTGTCCAACGTCTGAATTATTTCATGTGTTTCATACTGTTTTCAAAGTTTAGGGTCAGAGGGTAGTCCTGTAACAGTTACTCTGTCATGGTTATCTGGTATAATTTTTTTTATATTCCAGACTACCCCTTTATATGGATAACTAGATAAGAAATGATAACTTATGTTCCCCTCTTCCAACATTGTATGACACAGGAAATACACATTCATTCAATCCATTCTGCTTTCCTTCCTCCTGCCCTTGACTAAGCTAGGCACTTGGAGAAGAAAATGATACCCATTCTTTTCAAGTGGGAGTGCAGACAAGAAAAATTGCTACTGAAATACAGTTTAATAAACACCTTGCGAGGGTAGGACAGGACATTATGGGAACACTGAAAAGAAGTGCTTACTGCCACTAGGTACTCAGCAAGTGCTCAACAAATGCTTGTCAAATTCAAGAGGGAACTCTATATGTGTTCGGTAAGATTTCCAAGACACTCCATTAATTCATTAAAGAAATATGTACTTCATACCTACTATGTAATAAACTCCGTTCCAAGAATATGGAAAGTAGCTGCAAACAAGAGAGCCCAAAGTGTTTCTTAAATAAATACATAGATGCAAAATGTCTTATTAATAAATTCCCTTCATAAATATTTATTTAGTGCCTTCTATGTTGTAGGCACAGTTCTAAAAAATTTTACCTATTTTCTAAAGCAATTAGTGAAAATAATCTATCATTGGTATTATTTGGAAGTAGAATTTTAAGACCCGAGTTCTGAATTAGGCACAGACATGTAATCGATATGGTAGATTTCGGATGATGTTAGGCAGACTGCCCTGGGGGAATCTTCTAAGGGGATAATCAGGATCCAATTCCATGATTCTTGTAGTCTGTCATTTGCTTTGAGAATATAAAATGTTCAAGAAAATGGAGAGGAAGAATGGTGGGAGCTTTTCTTTGTAAGGAGTTTCTCTTATGTGTCAATTCCAATCCTAACCTGGTCAGGTGAAGGGTTGAGGTGTTAGGTCTTTCTCATGCTTAGAGAGCTTGTTCCAATGGCAGCACTCATAAAGCTTTAGTTATGTTCCCTGCAGTTGGTGGACACCAAGGACCCAGACATACTATCACCTCAGAAAAGCTAGAGCAACCTGTGACGGGCCAGAGAGAGTAGACTACAGTGCCTGGCAAGTAACCAGAGAAGGAAGAAGTACAAGGGCATGTTTCATGGAACGGATGGTGACAGAGCCAGCCTGGAGCCATTTCAAGTCCTGCCCAAGTGGACTGCCTGGGAGTGCTTTTGGACTTACGTGGCACAATGGATGTGGACCTCATCTTTGAGGAATCTAGGGTGGGGGAAGCAGCCAGGTGAAGGCAAGGCATTGCCCACGTCAGAGGAGTCGTAGTTGGAGGGGCCAGCAAAGAAGCTTCCAAACAACTTTCAAAGAATCTACAAGGAAAGAGCTACTGCTGTCCAACTGCCAGGTCCAGAGAGCATGAAGCCATTCACTCTAGTAGAAACTGCCTTTTCTCCTCCTCTTCTCCTTGGCAGCCCATCCTCTTTGACTTTTATGAGGTGTGGAGCAGCAGCTAGTGAGTGGGGGAGGGAATGGAAGAGAAAGAGGGCAGAAGCCAAACATAGCCACCTAGCCTGAGGTGACGGTGGTATGGGAGGAGTCTAGCCTTGAAGGAAGGTTGAAATGTGACTAGTAACTTCGGCAGACACTTCCAATAACTGAATTGAGATTGTGTTTTGTGACTTAATATGGTTGTAGAACTACAGGAATTAAATGAAAAATATGGTTCCTGACAATTTTTCATCTTCCTCCTCTGAATAAATTTGAACAAGACCGTAAGAGATGAAGATTCAATGTTTTTGATTATGTCTGGTGTGTTGTGTTTGTCTAATCAACTGGCTGCACTTTGAAAATTTTCTTTAGCTACTGACAGGGATTTCATGCATTTCTTCTCCAATCCTCATACCAGATGAGCTCTGTCAATATTATCCACACAAATGTTAAGGTCTCAGCCCTTGGAAGATCGAGGATTTTACAGTCTATTTGCCAGAGTCATCAAGAGACTCAAGTTCGAGTGTTTAGAAATCTGGGTGTCAAGGAATCTCTTTTTCTGTTCTCTTTGTCAGAGATCTTGGGAGGGGTGGAGGGTGTCAACCAAATGACTTGGGAATTCCCTTTTCAATGTTTGGACATTTTATTCCCCAAGGGCAGGAGTGGGGAGAGAAGCAATAACTAAAAAGTCCACTAACAAAGATAGACAGGCATAGGGGCCTCACCAGACACAACTTTTTGGTGACTCCTGTTGGAGGAGCTGCCTCTCCTGGCTATTTCTTGGGTAACTCTCCCTAGTCAGTTCCACTTGGAAAGACAAACAGCATTAAAACTAAAGAAAGTTCCACAGCTGACTCTATGGCATTAGAATTATCACCCAACAAAATTGCGGTCTGTAGCCAAAAGACACCTTGTCACAGTGTCAGAGCAAGCATGGCTGACGATGTCCAGGGGAAAAAGAGAAGCCTGTCTAGACAGATTGGAACGTCTCATGTGCCTAATTAAACAGTCCCTCTTACAGCCGGGGCTGTGTGAAAAGTTTGTTTGTTTATTAATTACTGGTGGAACATACTTTTAAAGAGGTGCCATGCACTTCATCCTCTTCCATGGATTCATGGGGATTAGGAGCCCAAAAGGGCCCTAGGATCAAATAATCCAATCCTGTAAATTTCCAGAAGAGAAAAACTGAAGATCAGAGAGATCAGAGAGGATGACAAGGATGAGGAGTGAGCCAGTGGCAGTGACAACATTAGAATCCACATTTCCAACATCCAGTCCACGGCTTTGTCCACCATGCCAGCCTGCCTATTGTGTAGACAGATGATGTGGTCACCCCAAAGGTGCTGCTAGGAAGGCTCTTTGTTGAGATTTATTCCCCCACGTGACTATCCTATTTATTAAGTTTCCCTCATTACTGGTTCATCCCTTTGGGGTGTCAGTCCAGCTACCTGCCTTAAAAATATGAATATCCTTGAATGGAGCAACACAACCCAGGCTTGGATTCTCCTAGAAGCAGTCCCAGAGACAAGGACTTGAGGGCCAGCAGTTTATTTTGGAGGTGATTCTGGGGAGCATTGGTGTGGGAGTGTGGAGGACACAGAGAAGACAAGGAAACCAAGAGAAGGTAAGCTATTGAATAGGCGACTGTTATGGGCAGCTGAGGCTCCAGCCCTTTGGGGGAATTCTGGGAGGAAATGGCCAATATATGTCAGAGTTGACCCATTAGAATGACAATAAAGTTAGGGAAGTTGTCACTCCAGCTGTCATTGGTTGACAGCTATTCCCCAGGGGCCATGGACACTCGCTCTTCCAGTCTGTCATGCTTGGGCCGGCACTAAGGCAGAGAACACCAGTGTTTGCAGTAGGTCCCTGTTGGGTACGTCCTGGGCAGGGGGTGTTGGGTCAGTCTGTGCAGCTGTGTGTCAAGAGTCGCTACCTATCAGTGCTTGCCAGCTTAGTATGAACTAGACTGAGTGAGGGCTTGCCTCCATGACATCTAAGGTTGGAGAAGTGAGGACAGCGGTCCATTTGCTGGGGGTGGAAGGAGTTGAGTGAAGAGTTTGGGCAAACAGAACACTACCTGCCCAGGAAATAGCAGGCTCCCATGCTTGCAGACAAGTTTACAATGCAGGGTTCTGGAGGTCTGACCTGTTTATAGGTTACTTGACACATATTAATGAATTACAGCCAGAAATTTATAGTCACCAAGCCTGCCCTCAACCTTCCTCCCCTCTTCTGCTTACCCCCTCAATTTTAGACAAAATACAGCAAATCGAAGAGTAAAAGACACCTTAAAAGTCAGGTTAATTTAAATGATCTCAATCTATATTAATTCAAGCTGAACATTTGCATGCCATTTATTTTCTGTGATTCACTTAAATAAGATCAAACATTTTTTGATTACTTCTCCACTTAATTAATCAATCAATCAGTATAGGGGAAAGCAAATTGGACTTGAAATCGGATTTAGTTCTGAGGCATCACTCAGTGCCTATTTAGTGGACAAGGCATCAGGAAATCTTTATCACTAAGCCTTTCTTTCTGGAAAATAGGGTAGTCGTCGCAATTCTGTGTAGCTCTGTGTATCCTGTGAGGGATACATGGAATAACAGACAGGAAAGCGCACTGTAGCCTGTAACACATGTCTCACACTTGTTCTACACATGCTATCTCCATGCCTGCTGCATGTACTGCCACGGAGTCTAGAGCTATTCAGTGGCATTGAGACTCTTTACAACACAGAGTGGGAGGCACAAGCACATAGCCCATACGATCTCTGCTTTTATGGGCTTTATGATCTAGGGGAGGGGAGGGAAAGTTAATGACCAAAGAATGAGGCAGTGGGTATGGTTCTAGTGTAGTGTTAAGGTATAGAGAATTATTTGAAGGATGGGTAAGATTTCAGTAAAATAAACTGGGAAACATGTGGGGGTCGCAGACACTGTTGGAGATCCACCTGGATTTTCTTGGATTCCCCCACTGGCTCTTTGCTCTTCCCTCTCAGCCTCCATTTGCCTCCAAAGCCTGCACCCGTGTCTCTTCTTTGGAGGGCTGCCCTTGGCTCTCCGCACACTTGCAGACAGCTGGAAGTACCTGGGAGTTTACATCCCTGGGGCAGCCCTTCGTTGATGACTAATTAACATCGGAGTGTGCAAGCTCAACTCTCTTGCCTGGGGTTGGGACAAACTTGGAGGCATAATTTACACTTGAGAACTCCCCAGTGGGATTATGTGGAAGTTGCCGTCTCTGGGAGTCTGCCTGAAATCACACCCTTGTCTGGCTTCTTCTCCTTCACCGTCATGCTTCCCCCACTCTTCCTGGTTTCTCTTGGGCGCACTTCCTTAATAAATTACTTGCACACAGACTCTTGTCTCACAGTGCATTTCTGGGGAATGCAACCTAAGACACAGGGCATTCTGGGTGTGATGAACAGCCTAAGGAAGACAGTGAGTTTAGGAAGGTGGAAGGTGTGACTGGGGAACAACATGGTTTGTGGGTTGTGGCTGGAGACTGTGAATTTGACATTGAACCATGTCAAATTCATTCATTCATGAGACATTTTTGGGGCAATTCCTATGAGCTCAGTGCTGGTTTTAGTCCTTGGGATATATGAACGGAGAGGAAAAAAGATGAAATCCTTGCCCTGGTACAGCTTATATTCTAATAGGACAGAAAGAAAATAAAGGATAAACATAAGGAAGTCAATTTTATAAAAAGTGTGTTAGAGGATAAGAGATGCATGAGGAATATGGAGGTTTATTGATTTCATATAACTTTGGGGAGGATTCTGCCAATGAGTCATGGTAAGGTGATTTGTGGCTTGGGGCTCTGAACTGTTCTTTATCAGTGATCTTATTTTAACAGCTAGAGTTTTAGGGTGCATATCATCAATGACTTATGGAGAACTATTTTAAAGTTGGGAAGAGTATTATTGTGTTATTTATGTGTTGTTGCATAACCAATTATTCCAGAATTCTGTAGCTTAAAAGAACTTTTACTGTCTCATGATTTTTGTGGGTGAGGGAATCTGGGTGAAGCTTGGCTGGGGCTGCTGTCATTTCAAGGCTTGGCTGGTAGGGTAGCAGAGAATCAGCTCCCAAGCTCACTCACGTGTCTCTTTGTAGGTCTCTGTGGCTGTTGGCCCTAAACATCCGTTCCTTGTCACATGGCTCTATCCATAGGGCTACTGACAACAGAGCAGCTTACATCCCCCAGAGTAAGGGCTCTAAGGCAGAGAAAGAAGGGGAGGGAGGGAGGGAGGGGGAGAGAGAGAGAGAGTGAAAGTCACAAGAGAAGGGAATGAGCAAGGTGGAAGATACAGTTTTTTGTTCTAATCTAGAACATAACATATTTTGCCACACACAGATAGAAGCGAGCAAGTCAGTAGGCGCAGTGCACATAAAAGATAACCCAAGAGCCTGAATACTTACTAGGAGGCAGACATCGATGGGGACCATTCTGTAGGTGCCTACACAATGATACTTTGTTGATATTCTGAGCATTAGGGCATTCACTAGATCCTTGCTTTCTGAGAAACAGAGACCTGAAGTCAAGTGATCTCCAACATATCACTGTGATATGTGACTCTTGTACAAAAGTTTCCAAGCAAGTTATCACAATTCAAACTCTTAATCTTATAATATAATAAGACTTGATTGCAGAAACCTTATTTCATGCTTCAAAATATAATGCTTATCATATAGGTATGCTTTTGCATTTAAGTATGCAAAGCTGATTGCTCAACACAAAATTTACAAAATCGTAAGTTCTTTCTGGAAATTCTGCAATGTGGGCTATGCTGTGTGTTGCTTCTCAAATCAGAGAATAATTAATTTAGAATAAAAGTCGGTTCTTTATTTCTTAATGAATATTGCCATTCTTCCTTGGGATCTGCTGTCCCAGTGTTTTACCGAGATCTGTTCTCTGCCTCCTCTGGATTGTTTTGATGATGAACTTGGTATGGGTGTTAGCATCAGGACTGACTTTGGTCCCAGCGATTAGGTAGGGTTGTAAAAGGGTGAAGTTGGGTCATTTCCATAAAGGTATTATTTGTAATGAAAATGATTGTAAAAGGTAGGGGTTAAAAGATAAACCACTGAAAATCAGGGGTTCTTGAAATCCCAAAATCGTGCTTTGAAACTTACAAAGTTTTGATGGTGAATGCTACATTCCCAATAAAGTTGTTTAAAAAATACAGTTATCCCAACCTCATCACTGGAGCGACCTACCCTGAGCTAGTTATCTTTACTTTGGAAATTTCCTTCCTTTTCCCACATC